GGCTGCGGCCGCGGGCGCGGTGGCAGCTGCGGCCCCGCCGCTGCTCAGCGGTGCCGCGGCCGCGCCTAAGCGCGCCGCCATCGCTGCCACAACGTCGCATGCGGCGCTCATGGCCGCGGGGCCGAGCATGCGGTACAGCGCGCGCAGCGGCGCAAACAGCGCCTGGTAGGCGGCCGGCAGCCGCGCGGACGCGCCCGCCGCGCCAAACGTCCCGTCCAGCACCCAGCTGCTGTGCGCCGACGCGAGCACGCCGTCGACGACGATCGTGCCGCCCAGGGTGTAAGGGTTGAACAGCCCGCGCCGCCGCATGTGCGACGCGCGCACCACGGCCGCCGCCTGCAGGCCGCCGCCGCCCTCTGCCAGGACCATCACCGTGTCTCCCTCCGCCACGTCTCGCGCGTACGTCATGCGCGCGCTCGCCAGGCCGGGCGCGACGCCGGCCGCCAGCACGGGCACAAAGTGGTCGGGCGTCAGCTCGAGCGCCCGGCCGCCGGCCAGCTCCAGCCGCACAAAGCGCGCGGTCGCGGCCGCGTCCTTGTGGCCGAAGAAGTACACGTCCTGGTACTCGAGCCGCCCCGCCGGCGTCGCCGCGAGGACCCTGTCGCCGACCCGCAGCTCGTCCATCCGCTTGGCGCCGCCGCCGGCCACGCGGACGGTGGCTGCGGCCGGGAAGCAGCCCGAGAGGTCGAGGGGCGCGCCGCAGTTCTGGAGGGGCTCGCAGGTCGCCCACTCGCCCTTTGTGACTGTCTTGGTGCGGCCAAAGACGCACGACCCGCCGTCGTCGCAGTAGCCCTTGCCCGCGGGGCAGAGGAAGTAGAAGGGCGCGGTGCCGTTGTTGCGGGCCACCCGCAGGCCGGCCGAGCGGCTGCGATGGCAGGATGAGGCGGGGCGGGCGCAATTGTCAAGGTTTAGAACGGCTTCAGGCCCCAGCGGTCCATCCGTTCTGCGGCCCACGCGGGAATGGCTGGAATGCTTTTTGAGTGTGCAACTCGCCACCACCCCTGCCTGTCTGTCAAAACCCAATGAGACAAGCCCTGGCCTGCGGCCACTCGTCATGCGCATGCTCCCAAACGCTCATCCCGTGCAACTCACACGCTGCACTGTCCGTTGGGCGCGGCAGGAGTCAGTGACGGCACCGCGACCTGCAGCTGCAGCTGCAACTCAGCCGCCACCTGCTGCACCTGCTGCTGCTGCTGCTGCTGCTGCTGCTGCTGCTGCTGCTGCTGCTGCTGCTGCTGCTGCTGCTTGGGGCCTGCGAGCGGCGGCGTTGCGCCCTTGCCCTCTTGCATGCGCCTCCGACGGCCGACGATCGACGTGTGGCTGGCCACCACGGCGCCGACGCCGACGCCGACGCCCGTCGCCTGCTCCACCCAGTCTGGTATCACCATGACCGCGTCTGTGACCTTTGTGATGAACATGTTGTTGATCAGGCCGCACGTCTGCCATGGCTGCGCACCCTCGAGGGGGCAGCTCGCCGACAAAAAGTCAAAGTCTGCAAATTTGTAAGGAGTGACAGGTTGTGGCGATGCGGCGCGTGATGTCATGATGCAGGCCTGCTTTGAGTGGGTGACCGTCACCTTGCCTGGGCTAAGAACCTCATGAAGCTGGCGGGCGGGTGCAAATGGAGCCACGCAGCCACTGCTGAGTGAAGCGTGCAGCTCTGGCGCGGCAAAAATCGCGGCGCGGCAGATATTGCGGCACCCACGAGTCGCGGCTGCAAATCCCTTGGTCCGCCGCTCAAGCCATCGGCCAGAAGAAAGGGACTGTCGGCACAGCCATCAGCAGCACCACCCCACCAAGCCCAAAGCTCAGCAGGAAGCTGCCGCCGTGACTCACAGTAGTCAAACAGCTCCTTGTCAAAGTGCTTGGTGTGCTGAATCACGTCCGGCAGGCAGGCGCAGTCCGCCTGGAACTTCGGGTCAAACACCTTGGCAGCGGCCGCGCAGCACGCCTCAGGTGTCTTGACCGCGTCCTGGGAGAAACCCACCTGGGGCGCGCGGTGTGGGCAGTCGCAGCGGGTGGGGAGTGTGAGGAGGTCTGGCAAATTGGGCACGGGGTGGAACGAGCGCCGTGGATGCTGCTGTATGGCGCATGCTCGGCTACCCATCGCTTATTTCGCCAAGCGTTCCAAGACTGCCGACCCCCAACAGTACACACAGGTGCAGGCCGCCTGTACTGCGAGGCGAGCCGGGGGGTGAGTGGGGGGAGCGAGCTCACCGCCAGGTGGAAGAAGCGCCCCACATCCAAGCGGATGTTGCTGCGAGCCTCAAATAGCCTTTCCAACCGCTGGTATGCAACCTTGTTGGCGCGGTTCAGGCAAGAGCTGCAGCTGCTGGCTGCGTCGGAAAGCTTCTGGATGCACTCCGACGGTGCCATCTTCGCAGCGGCGCTGCCGCCTGTTTGAGGAGCCAGGGCAGGTGCGCAACGGGGGAGTGTGGGGCCGGCTACGGAGCTTGGAATCGGTTTCAACCGATTCCTGAATCCTTGCGAGCGATCGCGGGCCACCACGCTGGCTCCCCCGGGCATGTGGGTTGCGCGTCCTGCCAGGGTCTTGGTGCCCTCGGCATCCGCCCTCCTCAGCCGTTCGTTCAGCTTCACGACTGGTTATTCCAGTAAAATAATATAGGAGGCGACACAGCGCCATGTGTCACCCGTGCCCGACCCGGGCAAAAGACGGACTCCCTCATGTCTGTCTCTTGGCGCACCTGCACTCGCCCAGGACCCCTGCACCAGCAGCGCGACCAGAACCACCACACTGAGCCCACGCATTTTCGTGGCTCCTCTTCCCTCCGGACGCGGCCTTGCTAAGTCGGCCCCACCCTGGTGCGTCCCTCGCGCGCTCTCGATCTGTGGTCAGCTGCGGGCTGCAAGTGGCTGAGAACCAATTTCGAGAAAAATTGAAGGTTTGAACAAGGCTGGGTCGTGTGCGTTTGCATTGTGGGCATGGGGGACTGAGGGGGAAGGCAGCCGGGCAGCCAACGCAGGGAGCGGGGGTGAGGCCTTGACAGGGTGTGACTTGGGGCGTTTGCCGTTGCTTATGCAGTACCAGCAAGGTGATTCACAGGAAGGGGGGATAGGGCGTACCTCGCTGCAGGGTACATTTCAATTAAGCACAACTGCGCCAGTGGCACCAGGAGGACGCGGCCGCCGGGCAACCAGCCGGCACGCATGATCACGGGCGCCGCTCCGGCGGGGTGCAGTTGCTGTGGGATGAAACGTTTATGCTGCAAGGTTCCCACTTGGAAGTTTTGGAGATGGTCACGCTCGCCAAAGCAAGCTTTGAACTTTGGCGGTGTGTCGCTGCAAATGCAACATGGCGGCCAGGCTGAGAGCTGGCAAATGCAACGAGGCGGACCCGCCAAGCCCCACAGCCCGTCGGCCCAATCTGCAAGGGTGGACAGGGGAAGCACGCGCACAAGCATTCCACACTCGCAGCATGGCAAGCGTTCACACCCACAGTGTTGGCAAGCACGGAGCGCCCCACGGACCAGCCGGCGGTAGCAAGATACATGACATCAAGGCGCCTTGGAGGGAACTGGAAGCAACAGTGCGCACACAAATGGAGGGTCCACTCCCATTCCTGGGTGCAACCGGAGTGCCGAGTGCACAAGCCCACAACCCCCGCTATTCAGCCCTGCCGCACAGGCCGCTATGATCGCAGAACACTGACCTTCTCCAAAGTGCTGCGCAACCCCCGAACAAGGCGCCCCAAGCGCATTGGAACTTAACACCCCGCCCCAAGTCGCACAAGATAGTGGCAAGCCAGCAATGTGGCGCCGCGCGCCCTGCATGCTCGCAGCGGGGCAGGGTGCATCGGCCGATGAAGTGAAGGTCTCAACAAACGGTTCAGCGACACAAGTTAGAGGCAGGCGCATTGAGAGCTGAGAGGCATTTGCGCCTCTGCAACTAGGGATCACCGCCGCTTCGCGCGCCATGTTTGTTTTGAGCACAAACAAGAAAGCGCTGCCCTACTGTTGAGCTGTTTGGTGGAAGCAACCCGCAAGTACCCTGATCGTCACTGCCTCGCACGGGGTGCGTCTCCTCTCGACACATGCAGCGCAGCTGCCGCTCAGGAGGTCATGGCCTCAGCAAGCAGCAATGGGTTGCTGGTGACCGTACTCATCTTTGGATTAAATGGTGCTTGTTCGTTTCCGTATCTTACACACGTCGAACAAGGGGCCGTCAAAGCGAAGCGGAGAATCTCAGCTCGAGTCTGCGTTGAAGGTGGAGATCGGACTGTTTAGTATGGAAGAAGAAGTCGTAAGAAAACTCAAGGTTGGTTCGAGAAGAACATGAAACCGGCTTCCCTGAAATCGTTCACGCCACCAGTGGTGCGCACGTTGACCCTGGGTACGGTACGGTATGCAACTGCGCGCCAAGTGCAGCCAGGAGCCGTAACACTGCCGGTAGTTGTGCTTCTAATAACTTTGTCTGTTACCTCTGCAATGTAATGCCAACAGACCGGCCTGGTGTCGCGAATCAGGGCGGCGCAGCAGCGCGCTGGCAAGGTCCCCAGCAGCGGCGGCAACGACAGCGGCGGCAGCAGTGGCGTGTGCGAGGCGCTGTGGCGCGCTGCACGGCTGTGCGACCGATACCTGCTTGCTGCGGCCGCACGGCGCAGCGGCTGTGGCTGCGAGGCGGGCAGCAGCGGCGTTGTCAGCAGCGGTGAGCCGGTGCTGCACTGCGGCAGCGGCGGCTGTGCCCTCGACTTGGCGGCCTTGAAGGAGGAGATCCGGCGTGTGGTGCTGCGCCACGACCAGGCAGCCCCCCGACACAGCTGCGCCGACGGCAGCGGCAGCCAGGGCGATGGACGCGTCACCCACGGGCGCGCTGCGTCCAAGGCTCCCACTGGGCGTGCGTCGTGCAAGGGCCAACAGCACGAGCAGCGGCAGAGGCGCGGAGAGCGCGCCGATGTGGACGGGCAGCCAGAACAGCAGCAGCAGCTGCTGCCGCAGCAGCAGGCCGCACTGGGCGGAGCCACGAGTCAAGTGATTGGTGTGCGGACAAGGGGAGCAGGAAGGTTGGCGCGGCCGAACGCTGTGGTCGGCGCCCCTCCCTTGGCGCCTGTGCCCGCCGACCTTCCGACTGTCCTGATCCCGGTCAAGGCCTGCCTCCTGGAGAACGACTTTACCAGGATCACACGCATCCAGGAGCGCCAGGCGGCGGACGACGCGGAGGCACGTGCGCGCGGCCGTGCAGCGGCGCGCGAGGCGACACGCGCGCTGTTGGCGGCGCAGCTGGAGGAGGCCGCGGCGCGGCGGCGGTCCGAGGCGGAGCGGCGGGGGAGGGAGGTGCGGGAGATGGACGAGCGGATCGGGAAGGTCAGGGCTGAGGAGGAGGCGGAGGCGGTCGCGGCAGCTGCGCGTCAAGCGGCGCTCAGGGAGCGGCTGGCGGGGCAGGCTCGCGAGGTGAGCTCGTTGGGGTCGTCACTCAGGCAGTTATTGGCTGGGAGTCGCTCGCAGGTGGCCATCTGTCATGGCCACATTGCCCTGGAGTGAGCAAAGTAGTACACGGTAGGCCCAGCTCCTTGAAGCGCCACTATCCTCCTGGTACACACCTCTGTATGCCCCGGGTCGTGCGGCACAGGCGGCAGAGCGGCGACGGGAGGAGGCCGAGGCAGCGGCCCGCGAGGCGGCACTTGAACGCGCAGAGCTGCAGGCGCAGGCGGCCGCCGAGCGCGCGGCTGCGGAGCAGCGCGCGGCGGAGGAGCGGGCTCGTCTGGCAGCGTTCGCCGCGGCGCAGGAGGTGGCTGCCGCCACCAAGCAGGCGGCCGCGGCTGCCAGGCTTGAGGCCGAGCAGAGGTTCAACCGGGAGTGCATGGCGGTGGGTCGCGCCCTGCAATGTCGGGGTCGGTCGGGGTGGGTTGGGGCGTGAGGCATCGGTGCTCAGTGGGGACGCTTGTGAGGTCGGGTGGCTGTCGGGGATGTATCAATGCATAGGTTCCTGTGTGGCGCGTGTATGGCATTCCGCAAGCCTCACACCCAAGCCATATGGTGCTCACTGGCAAGTCGATAGCACGCATGCCTCCCCCACTTCCGTTCCCCCTGCCCGGCACTTCATGCCAGCGACCCCCTTGGTCACTGCCAAGCACTTTTGAATGCGCGTGACATGCACCTTGCCTCATGACACATCATGCCAGGCGATGGACGAGGCGCAGCGATGGCGCGACACGGCAGTGGAGGCGCGGCGAGAGCAGCAGCGGCAGCGCTTCCTGGCCGGTGGGGGGCAACGCCTCGAGGCCGAGGGTGTGGCGCGGCGCGCAGCGGAGGAGCGGTCCACCGCGCAGGCGCTGGCGGCCGAGGAGGCGCGGCAAGCAGGGGAAGTTGCACGGCGGAAGGCAGACGAGCGGGCGCGGGCGCTGCAGACGGTGCAGACGCTTCAGCAGCAAGTGAGCGCTGTCCCTGTCGGCAAGGAGGGGCGGATGAGGGGCCTGAGCACGCTCATGCGGCAGTCAAGCAGTGGTGCGCGCGCGCGCATCTGCAGGCATGGCACAAGTCGTTCGAGTGGTTGCAAGGGGTTTGGATCCCAGGCATAACCATGCCGTCGTTCCCCTCATATTCCTAGCTGATGCATCACTGGCCACATCATCGATGACACCCATCACAGATGGCATTGAAGGAGGCCCGCCGCGTGGAGGAGGCTGCCGCGAAGGCTGCCGAGGCGGCCGCTGCCGCAGCGTCCCGCGCCGCCGCCGTGGCCGATGCAAAGCGTGCCAAGGCGGCCGCAAAGCGTGAAAAGGCGGCGCTGTTTGCGGCGCAGACACGGGAGGTCGCTGCCTTCAAGCAGCGGAAGCTGGTGGAGCTGAACGAGCCTTTGAAAGAGTGCGACAGATGGGTGCACGCGCCCGTCATGGAGGGCCGCCAGCGCGGGTTCGCGCTGTGAGTGGATTACGGTGGCTTTGCATCCGTGATGGTGCCTGTGCGGCCGAATCGTGATGTGCTGAGAGGTATGCAGGGCGTGGGATTCAGGCTTCGAGTAGCTCTACCGACTCGTGCTGCTCCATTTTATGGGGCGATGCAGGTCTGATGTGCTGCTCTGGTCCCAGACCCTGCGGCTTGCCAAACAGACGCCATCCCTGGATTCTGGTAGTATGCGTGCCGTGCATGGATTACAAAAACGCACGCAATGCTGTGATGATGTGTTATCAATGCGCAACATGCGCAATTGAGTTTGCATTCACGGTTATAACACATTCCAGGGCTGCTGTGCTGCTTTGAGGTGATGCCAGCGGCACGTCACCGCATGGCCCCCGCCTGCAGGACGTCGATCATGTTGAACAGCCGCTTTTGGGAGCCAGCCCTGCAACGGTGGTGTGGAAGGGCAGCCAAGAAGGCGAAAGCGCTCACGACGCAGGCATAGGCGCAACCGCCAGGGTGGTGGCCGCTGCCACTAATGGGCTGCACATCTGTGCAGTCGTGCTCATAATGCCCGACCGCTGGCAGCCCAGCACAGGTACACAGAACCCTCTCCCCAGCCAAGTAATCTCACCTGATTTGTTGGTCGAGGAACAACACCGCATCCACCGTTCCTTCCGCATAGATAGTCCTGTGCAAAGGTGTGCAGGGGTGCGAAGGCCAGGGACCGGCGCTGTGACGAAAAGCAAGGCAGCCTGCAACCCGCGGGGACGCCCTCGGCGGTTGGTGTTGGCAGCGGCTGTTGGTGACCGCAAGCGCGGTATCAGCCACAGCGGCAGCACTTGCCAAGGCAACAGCCGCGACAGCAGCGGCCTGTGCCTCTCCCGCAGCACAGCTTTGGCTTCACAAAGCAGCCCCCGGCCCCTGCCCCAAAGGCGCACCTGCCGCAGACGTTGTGTTGGAACTCAAAGCCCACGCTGCCGTCCGCAGAGGCCAGCCTGTACGTGTGGTACGCGTGGCCCAGCAGGTGCTCCTCGGGCACCCCCATGTCCCTGACCTGGGCCGCCGGGTCCCGCACCATCTCGATGCTCTCCACGTCGTAGTCAACACCCAGGCGCTTGAAGGAGCCCACAATGGCCTGCTCGTGAGACAGGGGTTGACGTGTGTGTGTGTGTGTGTGTGTGTGTGTGTGTGTGTGTGTGTGTTTGTTTGCGTGTTGAATGTGTGTGTGTGCGCGCGTGCTGGATGTGTGTGTGTGTGTGTGTGTATGTGTGTGCGCGTGTGTGTGCGCGCGTTCAATGTGTGTGTGTGTGTAGGGGGGAGGGCAGGGGCGTAGCTGTGGGACCACCGTGTGGCGCCTGGCGCGCATCAGGCGCCTGCCAGTGATGGGGCCCGAAGCTGCCTCGAGGCGCCAGCCGCAGGCGAATGATGACTGCCGCATCGCCCATCAGCACGATTTGCCAACGCGCTGTCATCCTGCAGGAAGAGTCTGATTTGAAACCCGTCCACAACCTTCCCCCCATTGCTGTTCTGCACCCCCGGACACACATGCACATATGCACATACGCAGGCCGCGGGCTTGCCTTTGCTGTTCCGCTGGTGTCCCTCTTGCTGGACTGGTGCGACTCAATCACGCGCAGGTCGTAGCCCGCAAACGCCCCGGGGAACTTCTCCCCCATCAGCTCCATCACCGCCTGGAACGCCACCACCTGGGGCCGGGCGCAGGGGCGGCGGCACACGGGAAACGGGGCAAGGCTGAACAAGAGGGGGGCAGCTTGGCAGCTCGTGCACACATGCACAGGTGAGCCTGGGGCCTGCATTGGTTGTGCGTCCTGCATGCAGCCAAACAGAGGCAAGGCGCTGGCTGCACGTGGGCGGGGGGGCTGCAGGTGTGCTGCAAAGGGCCGAGCCTCTGCTGCGCGCGCGTCACCTGCTTGCCCATCTGGGGGGCGATCACCGCATACACCCCCGCGGCCTGGGGTTGAGAGTGCGGGCGAACGTGTGTGCATGAGGTTGGCTGCAGTGCGCAAACAACCAAAGGAGCTGTTGACCATGTTGACTGTGGTGACCGTGGTGACCGTGGTGACCAGGCCGTCAGCTGCCACCCCCGGGGCTTCTTGCCAAGCACAGACCTGGCACCCAGACTGTTGCCGAATTAGAACTCATGCTCCCAGTCTTGAAACTAACAGCACCTGATAGTCCCCCACTGCCTGCCGCTGCACCCCCTGCCGTCCTCCGCCCGCGAAGGAGCCAGCACCCCCAGCCGCCCCTTGTGCGCGCACCTCTGTGTCCCGCAGCAGCTTTTCCCGGTCGCCGCCGGTGGTGCCCATCACAAAGGGCAGTTTGTGCTTCTGATACAGCGCAGCCATATCCATGATCACGTCTTTGATATGACGAGAGCGATTGTTGAGTTGCAAAGTGGGGGCCGAGCAGCGCGTGAGAGGATGCGGCGCAGGGTCATCCATAAACCAACTGGCAACCGCACGTGACTGCATTTTCCAGCTTGCTGATGCCGCAAGAGCGGCCATTGGGCCCAAGCCGTGGGTGTGCAGGCAGCCATGTGCCATTGGCGTCCCTGCTGCCGCCCTGCCATGCAGTCGCTTGAAACAAACGCTGCTCGGCATGGACGCTTCACCTGTCGCCGCTCACCCGGGATGGTGTAGTCGACCATGATAAGGTTGGGGTGCTGCGCTTTGAGCTTCTCAATCAGAGCGTCACGCTCCGACGGCCCCACCAGCGCCACCTGCTGCCCCGCCACCTCGATGCTCGAACCAGGCACAGCCTCGGCGGCCCCGCACAGCGTGTAGGGCAGCACCTGTAGCCCCGCCCGCTCGGCCGCCTCGGCGACAGCGCGGCCCATCTTGCCAGTGCAGCTGTTGACCATCAAGGCGGGCTTGGCTGCAGATGCCATAATTACGAGCCTCTTGCTGCCTGCGCTGGTTGAGCAGCTGCGGCCCCGCAGCTGGGTTCCAAGTCGAATGTGCGTAGACAGCATTGTGCTGCCACAAGTAAATTTATGTGCTGTATTGTCGGCTGGCTAAGAAAAGCTCCAGATCAGAAGACGGCGACTCCAGATCTCGCAATTTGACTTGATTTGCAGCGCAGGGGATCTGAAACAAATAGAATGGAGGTCACAAGAGATTGCGACACCCATAGTGACGCACATGGCTTCCCATTGGTGAGGAAACGGCTCATGCTGACATGCGTCAGTGCGCGCTGTTGCCCGGTGTGTGCTTGCCCGGAGCTGAAACCCACATCGCCGCCGTGCCTGCTTAATTCGCTGACCAGGCACTACAGCGTAACATATACCGCAGGCTTGGCCAGGGACGGTCCCTGCCTCAGCTGCCCTTGCACCCCTCATCTCGGGGCTCCCAACAGGCTCGGGACACTCAACAAGCCCTGGGAGCACTACATACCTGAGCAGGGAGGCCATGATGGAGGCCCCCACACCCACACCGACGCCCTGGCTGCTGAGTGACAATCTACCTAGACCGTCTAAGGGCGCCCCCAGGGGTGAGTGCGCGCTGGTCCCCCGCATCCTGCGCGTTCCCGAGCAAGTACAGAGTTCCCTCTGCCCACATGGAAAGCCCGTGCAGAGCGGCGCTGTCATAACCCCCGCTCCTGGTTCCTCACCCGCTGCTCCCAGTCTTTTGCATACCCCCCGCAGGCCAAGGAGCATGGGTGTTTGGCGCATGGGCCAAGGCGTTGGCACCTGGTATCGCTGTGAGCAGCAGGGCAAGGGTCTGCTGCTGCACCTGCCTGCTGACCCCCCCTTAAAGCGCCGCCGCTCCCGGCACGGCCAGAGGGTGGGGATGTTCACCACCGCCTCTCCACATCGCCGCAGATCCTGCCCGTTGAGCTTCCCGGTCGCGGCGCGCGGAGGCTTGAGCCGCCCATCACTGATCTCTGCGTGCTGGCCTCGGCCATGGTGGACGCCCTGCTGCCAGAGATGATGTGT